AATTACCAAATTACCCTTATCATTAATTTATAATTTAGATTTGAACCTAAAGTGAAGAAATAATGTGATTGGTCAAGATCGGTTTCCATAGTTTGTACCATATGGTTGGTTTCTATTTGAACCAACCTCTATATATATATATATATATATATATATATATATATATTAAGGTTTTTGTTATTAATTTTTTTTTCAAAATGGTTATTTTGGTCAAGAACCGTATTTATACACTGTTTATTGGTGTGTCATATCTCTAAATATTTACTAAATAAAATTTTGTTTTCATGATTATAAATAAACGAATTATATTTCATATTAACATTCTAGTTGATGTGTATAAGTTATGAAAATTATAATTAAGAGTTGAAATATCTTTAAACTGAAAGTTAAAGTAAAGAAGGTTGAAAGTAATGAAAAATTGAGGAGTTTAAGACTCTGGGGATTAAAATGTTAATGCTTAAACTCATAGGCATTGAAGTGTTGATTAAGGATGGTGATTTGTCCCGACCCGATGGGGAACCCGGTTCACCCGACCCGAACAGGGACGGGGATTCCCCGCTAAAACAGGTCCCGAGGCCGGGGCCAGGGATCCCTGGTAGACTCAAACCAGGGTCGGGGCCGGGGCCGAGGAATGTTACTCACACCGGGGTCGGGTCCGAGAATCCCCGGTAGAATCAAACTAACGGATATTCTTCTTAGGGTTTAACTGGGGATTGATAAAGGTTTGACTGGGGACTGGATGTTAATCCCCATACCCGCCAGGGACCGGGACCGAGACCGGGGAATGTTACTACAAACCGGGGCCGAGGCCGGGGATCACAAAGCCCACCCCATCCCTGCCCCATTACGATGCCTAGTGTTGATGCTCTAACTCTAAATGGAAAGTGGTGAAGTTATCTTAAAATTAAAATCAAAGAGATTGATTATTTTCCTTAAAATATTTTTAAATAAAGTTTTTTTAAAAATCTACAACTAAAATCTGATTTCCAACGTCTCTTCTAAATAAGAGTTTTTTTCTTTAAAAATATCTTTTACCAGATTGATTTATTATCTTTTTTTAAGGTATGTATGCAATTGAGTGTTTTTGGGAGTAAAAGAATGGGTTTTGACGGGCTTTTAACCCTCAAATAAATGTAAATTATAAAACTAATCCTCAAGTAAATCGCTTGTAACATTTAATCCTTTATTTAGCATTTAGCATTTAGCATTATGTGATACGTAGATGAACTA